TCAGAACCTGTTACCAACTGTTGCACCTAATAATATCTCACAGCTGTCACAACTACTAATATCACTATGTATAACCTGTCACCAACCAGCAGAAGTATCCCTCTTTGGTCACTTAAGTACCTTTTACCGAGGGACACCTCTAAGTTTTCTGTACATATTTTTTTCCACCAACGTCCACCAAAAACATGATAAAGCTAAATAGACACTCAATTGCATTTATTTTCTTCGCCTTTATAGCTCTTTTATGTTTTTCATCAAGTTCTAAGGACATGTTTTAGGGACATCCTAAACTTCTAGATGCCTCAGTAGAATCAATTTGTTGCTGTTTATTTTACACTGGTTTTTATACTGATATTTTATGATACATCTGCTTGACGTTTCCTGATCCCATTCCCTCCTCTACCCACTTTTTGCTATAATAATCATCAGACCTACACCTAAAAGAACTAAACCTAAGAACAATAATGTATTATACTGCAACCTACCAGTCCTTAGACTTGTAAGTTGCAGTATAAAAATAAAGAAAAACAGAAAAAAACCCAGAAAACTAATACAGCTACCACATCTATGGGCTAGTAACCTGCAATATTTAAAATGTTTGTTTGGGGGTTTAGATAAACTATAACATTTGTTGCATAACATAAATTCAAAGGAAAAGTGAAAACATTCCACATGCAAAAAATTATCACAACCTGCACATACTTAAAAAATTGATGAATATGCTTCACAAATTACCCAATTTGTATTATTTGTTAATCAAAAAGTAGTTCATTGCACTGGGAAACTTGGGAATCACCCGATATAGGGGGTTAGTCTCCCAGGACCTTGTCTGAATCTCCCAAGTTTCAGGAGCTAAGAGCTGGAATGTTTGCATTTCAGCTCCCAGCTCAGCAAGAATGCTGAACTGTGCGGCAGAAACATTTCCTGCCTGACAGTCACAGCAAAGTCCCAGCCCAACAGAGATAAGAGGCAGAGAAGCACAGGAGTGTATGGTGGATAAATAAGCTACTGAACACCAATGCTAGGCTGGGAATTATTTACAGGGTTATTCACAAAAGGGTGAAGAGTTTGGAGAAGGCAGCAGAAGTGAACAATCTGGGACAACATAGCTGAACTGGAAAGTGAGCTGAATTGGAGAATGTTTCCGAATCAGCTATGTTGTCCTAGATTGTTCACTTCTCCTGCCTTCTCCAAACTCTTCACCCTTTTGTGAATAACCCTGTTAGTTCCAACTGACACCAATGATTGGGGCTTCTTTTTCCCGCAGACACTAATGATTAGGGCTCATTATGTCCCCAATGACACCTATAATTGGGGCTTTTTTCCCACTGACACCAATGATTATGGTTACAGTTATACTGAGCCTGATGAAAGGGACCCTGCATGGCTCTTAAATGTTGCGTCAATGTGACAACATGCATCAATAAAAGACGCTCACGTGACCATTTTGTCTGGTGTGCTGGTGACACTTTGCCGCCTCATTGTTTTCAGCGGTGCCATCCGCAGTCATTTCAGCACCCATCTCCAGGGATTTCCAGTAAGGAATGGTTACTGAGCTCTCCACTTAGCTTTTTTCCTAATGACATCAATCACTGGGGCTAATTTTTCCCAATTACATCAATGTTTGGGGCTCATTATTCCCAATAGAGGAGAAAGCAGGGACACCGGCACTCCAGTATAAGCGTAAAGCATAGCTTAAGGAAGGGGATCCTGTGTGACCCCGAAACGGTCGTCGCAGTTTTGTGACATGCTTTTTCTTCAATAAATAAGACTTTTTGCTTTACGCTTATCCTGGAGTGCCGGTGTCCCTGCTTTCTACTTTGTATTGACGGTTGCCGTCCGTCGATCACCGCAGCACCCATTTTTTCTTTATTCATGGAGACAAGCGGTCAGGAGTGCGATGGGCTCATGGATCTAGTAATTATTCCCAATGACACCAATGCTTGGTCTTTATTTGTTGCACTGTTACTAATTAATAGAGCTCATTTTCCCCCCAGGTGACACCTATAATTGGGGCTAATTTTTCCCCACTGACACCAATGATTGGGGCTCATTTATCCAATGACACAAATGATTGGGATTCATTTTTTCCATGGACACCAATGATTGGGACTCATTTTTCCACAGACACCAATAACTAGGTCTCATTTTATCTCACTGATACCAAGCTTTGATTGTGTCTCAAAAGAAGCCAGCTACCTAGCTGCTGCACTTGTTGGGCTGCTGCACGGAAGTCTGAGGTCTGACAGACTCTGACTCGGGTAATTTATGTGCTAAATTTTTAATGAGTAAATGACTGATCATCGTAAGGCATGAGTATTGCATGTATCTCTCTGAACGTGTTACTTGTAGTGTCACTCCAGAACTGATTGTATTTCTGTAGACATTTTTCTGGTGCTGTACAAAACTGATTGGGAGGAATTTATCAAAATTGGAGCAGGCAGAATCTGGAGTAGTTGCCCATAGTAACCAATCAGCTTCTCTGTTCAGTTAAGCTTTGAAAATGAAAGAGAGAAGCTGGTTGGTTGCAATGTACAGTCTGCTCCAGTTTTGATAAATCCCTTCCATTGCATCTCTGCAAGCCTGTTTTTAGCAGTGTCACTGCGGAACTGATTGTATCTCTGCAGATATGTTTCTGGTTGTGTCACTATGGAACGGTGTGGATGTGTTTCTGGCAGTGTATGGTACTAATGATGTCTCTATAGATGAACTTTTTTCAATGTCAGAGTAGTATTGATTGTGTCTCTATGCAGCTACAGGCAAAGGTGGAGTTTTGAGGGTTTATCCTGAGATGTTGATTATTACAAGAATTGTCTTCATGGGGAAATCTATGAATGAGGATTAGAGTATTTATATGGTTGATTTAATCTATTTAATTAACTGATACACATCCCTGATTTACATTAGCTACACCCACTTTCTGGTGTTTTTTGTGCTGCTACTTCTCTGCCCCGGTGAGCTGTTTCCTAGGTTGACGTCTATGCCGGAATATCAGGAACTAGTTACATATTACAAACATAAAGCATATCATTTACTGAATTAATATTAGCACAGAAATAAGAATGTTAAATTCTCTGATAATACAGTTGCTTTTAAAATCCCTTCCACCGTGAAATAATAGTACTATGTATAGTCCAAAAATCCAGTTCTGCAGCAGGGATGAACCTACAGATGATGTCAGAGTTTGGATGGCCACATCTGCAAGGTACAGGTGCAAAACCACATTAGTCTGCCAATAGCAGAGATGGCTCAGGAATAGTGTGTCCTATACAAAGCGACAAGGATTTTTCATTGAAGTCAATTAGATTTCTACCCTGAAAGCCTGCACTAGATGGTGATCAATATCATTTTTCCATAAGCCACCCGCATTAAAGGAAAGGCATGCCGGGTGAATATTAGAGGCATGCTTAGTACAGGGAAAAAGACCCAGGGGAATCACTGTGAATGTGAAGCTTGGTTCATTGAGCTGGTGAAAGCGATTATGGCTGCAACGTGTTGGGCAATGCTCCCTCCTACCCATTATGGAATTGCAGGATTAGATTTACTTCGTCATGTTGTGCGCAGCCAGTAATATGGGGAAACCGACAGAGGAGTATACACCAGGGTCGCCAATGCAGAACAAAAGAGGCAAGGGGTGGAAAGCTCCTTCCCCCTCCACAGAAAGCTAAGTGGAGAGCTCAGTAACCATGGCAACAGGAAGAATGGCTGCTCAGACTTTAGTGTTACCATGGGAACAGATAAAGCAAAATGAGCCTTCTATCAACATCTGCTTAAAAACCTCACTGATCTGACTTTATATACTAGAGACATGGTGCCCTTTACCAGTTCAAGTCTATACGGTACAACAATAATCTGTATTAATTGCATCACATTCAGTCAGACTCAAACATTCAAAACTGGGTGGGATGTATAAACATTACTTGATGGTTATGGAATGTGAAGTACACATTTTGGATAAGCAATGTGATTTACAACTAACATGAATGTCAACTACATGTTTGTAGTGCGATGTCTCAGTGGTTATATTAACAAACACACATGTTACCGCAGGTAGGTTATGAATGATGCACTCATATACATTATTCCCTTCAGCCAACACTTTGCGTAATCCTATTGTTCTATGTCTTCTCATGTGATCTTTTGGCACAGAAACAAAAAACTTGTAATAACGTATTACCCTGCCAGCTAAACTGACAGGGGTTCTAATAATCACCCTGACCCATTAATAGGGAGAGTCTTTGCTACGCCCTTAGGAAGAACAAGATTTCATTATTTTCATTGGCACTGTCACTGGCTGTCTAAAATCTCTGAATCCAAGATGGTGTGTAACCCTAAAATAAGCAATGATGTTTAACAATAATTGAAAGTAATCAGGCACTGTGAAATCAATGTAAGCTACTACACAGTCAGTATTATAAAGCAGTTAGGCACAATCATATTTCGCAAGGCAGAGATAGGTACTTCAATTCAAATATTATCAGGGGAGTTAAAACATTTATCCTTCCTTAGGATTTTATAACTGGGCACAAAGTGCAGTATCAAACAACAACTCATCAGAACTAATTGTTCAATGCTCTAAGTATACAACCTGTTAAAAGATAAACTTTCTTATTGGTTTGTATTAATTACTGAAAATCACTACTGTTTGTAACATGTTATGAAATAAAGATGGACTGCAGGGTTACTCTGTTGTATCCATTAGGACCATAATACTCACACAGTATTATACATAGCATAGCAATACTCATACTACTCATTTGCTCCGCATGCACAATGCTACACTATACGAATGTTGTACTGCATTAGCCAGAAACACAAATGTATTGGTGAATACTTTACTTTTGAGTAGTAACAAACATATTGTAAATTGACACTCGCTTAGTCATTTCTATTCACAGTTTGCCATTTAAAGGTATGACTTTGACAAAACATTTTGCTTTTCATCACTCAAATATATTTACTGCTATGTACACTTTTAAAGCGAAGGTCCATTTTCTCACCTGCCACCCTGACCACCGCTCTTTCTGCAGGGTCCAAGACAGAATCCTTGCTCTTTCTCTTCTTCTGCTCATGACGTGGCAAATTCCATGGAAGCGTGTCACCAGGTGGACATGGGGACAAGCTGCCAGACCGTTCACTCCGGCATGACCTTTCACTTCGATATGACCTCTCACTGAGGGTTTCCTCATCTGAAGATGACATGTCTCCTTGGAAGTGTGGGAGTCACCCTACAAATAGATGTAACGGTCTATCAGACAGGGGATTCATTCTTTCCCATTATTATTCTGTGGTATTGTATCACATACATACAGTATATATCATACCACTATATGGAGTGGCTGCTAAAGATGGTGAATAGATACATCATGAACTCTGACATTTGAAAGCATACAAACCAGGTAATGTTAAGATGTTTCATAGCGTGTAAAGAAAACATACTCTTTGCACGAGCTATTATCTTTGCAATGGCAGAGCCAGTGGCGTAACTATAGCCATAGCAGCCCAGGCGGCTGCTATGGAGCCTGGGGGTGAAAGGGGGCCCCATTAGGTTATTGAAGCAAAAAAAAAAAACATAGAACATGTGAAGATAATACAGTACTGTATCATTAAGGGTTGGAGTTAAAATCTACAGCGCAGAGACAACTTCAGATGCACAAGAGGAGTCTTTGGGATCTTGGCATCATCACTCACAGTTCAGAGAGAGGTCGTCAGGGGGGCCCCCCTTAACCCATGATCTGTAGTTAAGGCCTTGGGCAGAGCAGCTAATATACAATCGAACAGCACTTCAGTATCATCACCTTTACAAATAATGTGCCTATTTCCAGCCTTTCCACTACGTCGTGCTGACATTTTACAGCGTACACTCATCTAAGCTGTGAGCAATCAGTCAAAAGAGGGAGGTTGACTTTTGCCATCTGAAATCCTCCATGGCGCCAACGGTTCCAGTGAGAAGAGTCTAAAAGTGGATTTAGAGAGTAGAGAGGGTAAAAGAGACCTATGGGGTAACCTTCTTATGCCATAGTTCTCTTTAGGGTCATGGGAGGACATGTGCTAACCTCCTCCCATGACCCAATGCTCAGTATATAGCGGGCTACTCCCGCTATATACCGAGAGCACTGCTGCCGGGATGCATCCCAACAATACTGTCGAGATCCAACATGCTGGCTGATTAACAGTGGGCTCCACCTATCTAGAGGCAGAGCCAGCTGTGCCCTCCCCCGTCCATTCCTCCAGTCTGTGCTGGAGGATCGGAGAGGGGGGGGGGAATCCCTGCAGGGAGACGTGAGTAACAGTCACGGCTCTCTGCAGGGAGATGATCGGAAAGTGAGTGAGCGATGGTATATGTTCACTCACTTCCCGATCTATAGAGTTGACATGTGACAGTTTCATTGTCAAACTTCGGCTCTAACTATGAGGATGAGTGTAAATCACTCACCTCATAGTTCTAATTTAAATCTCCATATTAGGGGCACAGACCCCAATGCACCCCCAGATTTCATGCACTTATCCTCTTGCATTCGCAGTCTTTTTGGATCTTTTTGAAAAGAAAAGAACTGCTTCCCCACTCACTGAGTAGAACCTGTTCCACGTTTTACAATGGATGTAGTACACCTCTTTATTGCCTACATGCTTTGTTTAGGGCACAATTCCCCACAAAACCTTGTCTGTTCCCAGCCACATTTGCCACGCCTAACCCCTGACTGCAACTGTTGGCCTCTTGCGAGCCCTAGTATGTTTATCTACCGCAGTTGCTGTGCAAGTTATGAGAAACTCTAGTTTATGGTACCAGTGCAATTTATGTTTCCGTTTAGGTTTACTTTTTATGTTATGGATACTTGCATCCACTTGGCCACGATAGATTGCCAATACAAGCACACAGACGTAGTCTCAGTGGCAGACTCACTATTACCCCTACAATGGAAGCCCTTTACTGTTATAGCCTCTTCACCACACTGACTCCATCTCTCTTCAACACCTACAGCCCTCATGGCTCTTTAGTTATTCTCAAAACAAGTTGAAGAGACGTTTCATCTTTACATTATACGTTGGTTACTACTGGCAATTTGGTTACCTCAGAGATGCACACATTCTCTGAAAAGTGCACTTATTCTTTAAACATTTACATAAACTCCAGGGAGCTTTTCCACTACAGTGGCTTGCAAAAGTATTTACCCCTTGGCATTTTTCCTATTCTGTGGCATTACCAACTGGAATTAAAATTGATTTTTATTTAGATTACTTGTAATGAACATACACAAAATAGTCCAAAATGGTGAAGTAAGTAAGATCAAGAAAATAACTTGTTTTTAAAAATTATAAAAAGTAAAAAACGAAAAAGTGGTGCGTGCATATGTATTTATCCCTTTGCTATGAAGCCCCTACATAAGATTTGGTACAATCAATTACCTTCAGAAGTCACATAATTAGTTAAAGACCACCTGTGTGCTATCGAAGTGTCACATTATCTCAGTATATATATATATACACACCTGTTCTGAAAGGCCCTGCATTATTAAAAAATGGAAAGAATATGGCACCACAACCAACATGCCAAGAGAGGACCGCCCACCAAAACTCACGGACCAGACAAGGAGGGCATTTATCAGAGTGGCAACAAAGGGACCATAGATAACCCTCAGGGAGTTGCAAAGCTCCACAGTGGAGATTGGAGTATAGGGCTGCAACAACTAATCAATTAAATCAATTATAATTGATAATGAGAATCGTTGACAACAAGTCTCATCATCAATTAGTTGATTTTCGATTAGTTGTCACCGCTCTGCTCCTCTGATCTCCTCCCTTCTGGTGCTGGCTGCAGTGGTCTGTGTCCCTTTCACTCCCCGCCTGTATCGGCAGAGGCAGCAGGGACACAGACCACTACAGCCAGCACCAGCGGGGAGGAGAGACCACTGTGACTCGGTGACATACCGTGCCTTCGGTGCTGGGTGAGGCATCCCCCATCCCGCCGAAGCTCTGCCCCGTCCCACCGAAGCTCCGCCCCATCCCACCGAAGCCCTGTCACCAGCTCGGTAACCAAGCTGTGTGGGAAGGAGGAAGAGAGGAGTCTCCCTGTCCCTCTCTTGCTCGTCACTGGTGAAACATCGAGATCGATGTCCTCTTGAGTGGTTTAAGGGGAAACACTTGAGTGGTTTAAGGGGAAACGCCTTGCTTTAAAATCACAACTTGTCCCTATCCCTGACCGTATTCAAATCCATCTGTAGATCTAATTCCACAATGAAAGATAAATATCTTTATTGTAATGTATTATCTTGTGTAATTCTTCTCACCAAATCCCCTCCTTTTGCTAATGCTGGGATATTGAACTGCTACTGAAATGAACAAGCCCTGTAAAATTCATAGTTCTCTTACATTGATATTTTACCCTGGCAACAGTGGAGAAATGCATACCAACATACCCCTCCACCTGCTTTTAGGGGTGCCCCGATGAATGGAACATGGAACAAATATGGTGGACCTGCCCTAAGTTATGCTATTTGTGGATAATAATCTACACCATGATTGATATAATCTTAATAACTAACCTCTGGAAAAATCAATGGGAAGTCTTCTTCAAATATTTCAAAAACATTTCTCGCAACAGCAGAACATTTATAACCTGTATTTTTGTAGCCACGAAACATATCATTGCACAGGCATGGAAATCTCCATCTCTCAAACTCTAAAGCTGCCCATACACCTGACAATTATCATACGATAATCGCGGGTGATCCCGCGATCATACGATAATCGTAAGGTATATGGGCAGCGTGCGACCGCATTTACTATACGGTCGCACGATTTTCGTATAACGAGCACGCTAGAAAACCCGCCAAAAATAGTACAATTTTCGGCGGGTTAGTAGCACGATCGCAAGGCGAAAGCCGCACGGCCCAAGGTGCGCAAGCGCACACTGCCCGCTCACCATTGCAATAATCTGTAAGCCATCCCCTCTGCGTGAGGACATGCGATTATCGCAAGTACGATCTGCCTGTCCAAGATGGGCAGGTCATACAAACTTTTAATCACCTTACAACCATCGCACAACAAAAGTTGTGCAATGGTTGTAAGGTGTATGGCCACCTTTAGACGTTAACAGCCGCATACTAGGCACACTTATCAACAAAAAATTGACAGCTGGACTAAATGATACTCATGATAAATTTCTCTTGATCTGGCAGCCATGGCTCAACTATTCTACGCCTTCAAACAAACCGCAAGCATACTTTAACTCTAATCTTCTTAACTTATTCTCATGTCTCATGTAAAATTCTAAAAACTAAGTAACTAAACTCCCAATTTATATTAAACAAAATGAACCTAAGATGAGTGGATTGAAGTATATTTTAGAGAAAAGAAGACAGAGAATTAGGCTGATTTATTAAATGAGTTAAGGATCTTCACACAATATATTTTGTGACTATTAACTTCAATTATCCAATTTTGTGAAAAGCAAATTCCTGTTTCCCTTTTTTATTTTATCTTATCTTTAAATAGAGTAAGGGAGGCCTATAACTAGGGATGCACCGATACCGGTTTTTCAGCATCGAGCACGAGTACCAATATTTCTTTTTGGTATTTGCCGATATCGAATACCAATACCGGAAGTCCCATTAAGGTAGCCAGGCGGCGTGCAATGACTCGCCACCGGGCTTCCCGATTAGCAGGGAAGCCGGCTCCATGCTCCCTCATCACCAGGTGACAAGCATTTGTACGAGTACTAGCCCAAATACTCAGTATTGGCACCAATACTGATACTAGTATCGGTATTGGTGCATCCCTAGATATAACCTCTATCAGCAATTTTGCCATCTGCGTCCCATTGGAGAGATTTCACTTCACATTCACATTTCACTTCAACGGGAATTGAGAGGAAATCCCTCCAAAGTGAGGAAAATCCCTAGTGGTCATCAGAGTCCCCATTGGAAGACGTCCCATCTATTTCTGCTCTTGTGACAGAAAAGATTTTGCCTCAGTTGTACTTTAACTAATATTCACACAATTTGTGAAGAAACGTAATTCTTTCTTAAACCAGCCCAGCTAGTTCTTGCAATTAGGTGGTACCTGGTAATTATTTTTCCACTTTTTTGGTTTTGGATAGAGTAGGGAATGGTTTTTTTTTTTCTTCTGTATCCCATCAAGGAGATATGCCTTCAGTTCCTGTGTCGAAGACACAACAGGAAGTGAGTAGAAATCTTTCCAAA